CTGCAGATATTTATGCAACCTATACAGGTTGTTTGTAAAGCCACTGCAAAGCAGCTTTGTTGAAAGCAGCTTTGCTGAAAACAGCTTTGCTGAAAACATCCGGGGATCCCCATGGATAACAAGTTGACCATGGCCCAGCAATACACCCATTTTGTAAAAAAAAAAGGCCAACAGCATCTTGCACTGCATTAAGAAGAGTGCATCAAAGATGTGTAGGAGGGTGATGAGTGGTGGTCAAGAACTGGCACATGTTGAACAGAGATGTTGTGAGGTTGTTGTTAGGGGAGTTCAAGACTCAAGTGGAGACCTCCTTGAGCAACCACACTTAATTAAATCTGCTTTGAGAAGAGGGTTGAACTAGAGACCACTGGAGGTCCCCAGCACCCTCAGTGGTGCTGTGAATCTGTCATGTGAATAAAAGTATAGGCAACCTCATTTATGGCAGTATCTCATGCTAAAGGTACAGGGAGTCCTGGAGAACCACAGGATGAGAAGCATGGACTAGGAGTAGAAAATAAGGCTTATTGCAGTGGAGTGCAAACAGAGGATAGTGAGTTGGAGCAAGGTTTTTTTCCTAACAAAATTGCACGGGGACCAAAATGCAGTAAATATGCTTCTTGGCACTGAAAACCCAGTTCATTTTTACATATGGGCGACAAAGTATTAGAAAAATGATTTGCTCAACATCACAAAGTGTGTCAATGGACCTCTGGAAACAAAATCTGGGCCTTTAAGTCCAGGGCTCTAACAACACAGCAATGGCATCTGCCAGTACACTCACTTTCTCCATGTCCTCTGCAGCAGCTAGGAAAGGCAGGTGGTGAACACCCAGCATGGGCCAAACACGAATGACCGGAGTACAGAACCCGAGTACAGAATTGTTCTTACCTTTGACTCCGCCAGAGTTCAGCTACAATAAAGCTGCCATCAATGTTTACGTGTGTTTGCTTTCATGAATAATTACACTAAATAAAGCCTCCTGTCATTTGTTTTTAAAAATCTGTCTCCCCACAGTCTTGAGCACCAGCAAAATGCAAGCATTTATTCTGTACTTTACACATGGAAAGAGGAAGGTGCTGAATTGCAATCCAATATGATTTATACAAGTGCATCATCTTATAATTCACCTAACTTCAACTGCATTTCAGCTAATTTCAAGCCTGAGAACAGCCTTAATTTTTTCACAGTTCCTGGCCTTCTTTGCTCCACTCTGTGACTGAGCAAGAATATATCCATAAAGTTTTCCTCTCCACCCTTTTTTTTTTTTTTAGCTTATTTTCCTTGATGTGCTGTTAGCTGTTAGCAGTGTTTAAAGGGAAAGAAGGAAAAAAGGGTTCAGGCAAAGAAATATCTCCTTCATCTTTTCCACAGACATACCCATGTCCTTCCTTGTACTTCATGCACTCCTTCACACCAAACCAGAAGGAATATTGAATCCTCCTGTTTCTAAACACTCTGCCAATGCATTTATATCCACTGAATTTCAGAAGCTTTATGACAAAACCTGGAGGACAGGACACTAATTCCTGAGGTTTACAGCCTAGCCCATGGCCTCAGTATGGCATGCAGCTCCTCCCTTGGATGCTACCCTTCTCCTGGAGGTGCCCTCCACTAAACTGAGGACCCCCGCTGCCACCTGAGCCTTACTGAGAGTCACTTTGGGCAAGTCATTCTGAGTTAATGGCCTTTCCCAAGCACCAGTGGCCGCACACGTGCCTGCGGGCAGCCCAGCACCGCAGGTGCAGAGGGGGAAGCATGTGCATCTGCACCACAGCCCTCAGCGGCGCGGGGAAGTCTCCACCGGCCAAAGCCAAGCAACACCACCGCTGGCTTCAGCAAGGTCACTTACATGAGCCTAGCCTCTACCATGTGGTTTGAGGCCTTTTTTTTATGCCTTATAACCACAGAGAAAGGTAGTGTTGCAGTTATCTCCCCATCAGAGAATTGCAAACCTTGTGGCCCACCACTACCTTTATAGAGGAAGGTAATGAAAGAGGAGAAGGACACGACACCCTGCAGCAAGTAGAGAAAACCTCTGATGCTTGTTTTTCTGGGACCTTTTCAGCTTAAATACAGCTAGCTCAGTTCTCTACCAGACTTTCTGTAGATGCGTAATAATTGCTATAAAAATTGCTTAATAAGAGGTAAAAGCCTACTATTCAGATTAACCAGCCCTAAAGCCAGGCAGAGAAGTGTTTATGCAGAGACAAATAGTTTAATCCGCGATCAGCGTGGTTAGCAAGACCACTGTGAGATGAAAGACACTTGCGCATGCTTCTTGTAGGAAATCTGCATTCTACTCTTTGTGGTATGAAATTTCCTCATCCTTTTCTCGGAATAGCTTGACAGAGCGGAAGTTTCTCAGTTTGAGATCTAATCTATGCTGCCTTCACAGGAAGTTAGAAGTGTTTTGAGCAAGCTTTCAGTTGACACATTTTTTCTAAACAAAAAAACCCTTTGGAGTAAGAACTGGGTAAACCACAGCTCATGGCCATAGTTAGCAATTAATTAACCTTACCTGTTTGTATAAGGCCATCTATCCAAGTTTATGCAGGCTTAGTTCTTCTAAAAGCATGTATAGCAGTTGGGTATTTTAATCCACTGAAAGTCAGCCGTGACTGCCTGACCACAAGTAGTTAAGGAGACATATTTACAATTCTAAATCTATGTTAATAAACATTTCTTAGTGTGTTTGTATCACAGCATACTTCTGGTCTCTGTGGTTGTTAGCCCTTGACACATATAACTGTTTCTTGACAGTCATAATCATATTTAAATTCACCTCAACATATTTGTCCACGTTCAGCACTTTCGCACACAGAATAGTAAGCACCTCTATTGCAGAAGCCAAAAAAACTCCCAGTCTTAGAGCAATTCGAGCAGACTTTAGTCATTTTCTAGAATGAGGAGATGATACTACTTAAAATCAGCACTATGTGTGAGGACATATTACCTAGGAATGTAGTAAGAAACAAGCATAGCTGCTTAATAAAAGCTTCCATGTACTTCATTCCTGCAAAGGATTAAATTCTGATGCTGCATCACCAGCACACCTGGCAGTATGCTTGTAGCCAGCTGAAGCTTATATGGTAAGAAGTTAAAAACAGAAACAAATCTAAGCATCTCCTATGACTATTTTTCTAACCTAAGTATATTATTTTTTAATCAAAAACTTTGAAATTTAGCGCATGTAGTTTCTTATAATTGCTACTTTCATACTATTTTTTCACGGCATATTAGGAATTTGATAAAAAGTATGTGAGGTGTCATGAAAACTGCATAAAGCATTTCCATTCAAAAGAAAGAAACAAAGAGAAGTTTTTCACTTTCTTGCATCTTCTTCAGAAATACTTTTTTTTGAGTGGAACTTTCCATGTTTGGGCCATTCTGAAAATGATTTTCTTTTAAGTTGTTAGCAATATGTGGAAATTATTTAACATGAATACAAAATGCCTTCAATTATGAAAACTGTGTGACTAATTAGTGAACAGAAACCTTCTATATTGATTTGAATCACAGATGTTTATGTATGATAAAAATTTTCAGTGCATTTGCCATTTAGTGTGTTGATGTTTGAACGGAGAGGTCTTTGAAATGTAATGTCACATTAAAAATCAACTAGTCTTTAAAGGGCTCAAATGCATGATTCTGTTTATTTTTAAAGGGAGTACTTTAAAAGAAAACAGGCAGATACATTGTATATTCCAGTGCAAAATATGCTGAGAAATGACAATTAAATCTCATATGAAAGACAATAATGTACAATAACCTTATTAGCTTCTGAGATTTGTTCACAAACAAGCATTTCTATTAACAAATTTCACATGACACACAAAAGGCAAGAGCTTCACAAAAAATAATCATAAAAGCACATTATTAATACTGGTCTTTTGCTCCAAACTTGCATTATTTTAACAATGTTTGGAAATATGAGGATAGTTGTGAAAATAACAGTACAGAAATTGCCAGTGTATAAGAAAGTCAGATGGCTCTGTACTCCTAAAAGATACTGAACACGCAGCATTTATGCTCAAGTTCTTTTGTACCTTTCGGGCAAATTGCAGAAGATTGTCTGCTTTAGAGTCCATTTTGAAGAAGAACAGTATGAAAGAGCTTTAATATTAATGAGAATTAGCTTGATACTTTCCCAAGGAGGACAGGAACGTGTCCACCTCTTAATTATGATATTAATGAAAATATGTTCTGTACAAATACCAGTGAAAGTCATCTGAAATAGAGAGAGTGCAATTTATCTTTTTAAAATAATGAAGATGTACAATATTTACAACATTTTGGACTGGTTCAGAAATGAACGTGTCCTGATTACATATCACTACCACCTAAAACAATTCCCCATCATTATAGAAAATGCATTTGCTGTACAAATATAAATATATAGATAAAAAAAAGTTTGCAGTCAAATGTCTGTGGATTCATTAAAAAGAAAAGCATAAGATATTCTTATTATCAATGAAGATTTAGCTATCAAATGTCCACATTTTAAACAGTCTGGAGCATCATACTTCGGAGGGAAGCAGATTTTTGGCGTTGAAACTATTTTGTGCTCTGCTTCTGTGTTGTCACACCAGCACATTAACTTATCTGATCATCCTTTCTGAAAATCTGCAGAAAAGCACCAGGATGGGATCAGTTTGATCCACTGATCTCCACTGACTGTACCATGTCAGACAGGGCTTCTGGATCTACCTCTTCTTTACCATTATCTGAATTTTCTGATGAGATGTAACAGCCAGAATCTCTTGGACAGTCATTTAACTGTGATTTGTCAAAGCTGTGCTGAGGGCTTAAGCTCTGGGAGTCTTGACCACTTTCATTTTCTTGCTGTTGTTCAGCTACAAGGAACAGAAAGAGAAAGAAGTGTCAAAACAAGTACTCATGGAACGAGCTTGAGATAACAAGGCAGCTGATCTTGAAGAGCTGTAGAAATAAAACTGGTAATATACACATGACTAGATCATTAACTTTGTCCATCAGAAACAGAAACCTCAGCATCAAATAATTAAAAGTATCATTGCATGAGAACAATGACATCTAAGTTCCTGTTCAGCTCTGATGCTGTGCTGTTTTGTTCAGAAATGAATGCCTAGGATTTTGGCCTCATCCAGTAAAGTCCTTTAGAGTATGTATGGGCGCAAAACCTTGCAAGGTCCCAAAGCCATTAGAGATTATGTGTCTTTCGAATGTGTCCCCAACTATTTAACCTGCACTGCATAGCAACCTATAGTTGACTGATCCTTTGAAGTCCTCAGAATGAAGTAATTAGGTTTCCTAAAGCACTTGACTTTTCAGTGGGAGCTACTCACTGAATGAAATTTCCTAAATTTGATATCCAAAAAGGAGATTTTCCAAAATAAAAAGGCCTCAGAGAACTAGCTGCCTAACTCCTGCTATACCTTTGACAACCTCTCCACACAAATTCTCCTGCTAATACTTTGTTCTTGTTTTGCTGTTATATGGCCAAACTGTTCAAACTCATAAAATCTGCAACTCAGAGGTATCAACAGACCTCTCAGAAACAGTCAGCAAGCTGGTATCTTGTTGATGGGACATACCTATGTATCGAATGTGATATATGAAGTTCATCTGTAGATGAAGTTCATTTTCTATTTTTTGGCCATGAAATACATGCTGTTTACTCACAATAACTTTCTTCAGCAAATTAGCTATAACATATAAAATCTTTCCCATTTGTTCTTTTTTTCTTGCTGTCTTTTTTTAACCCTGTTTTTACTTCAAATTTTGGCTTGCTTTCCAAACTAAGCCTGAGGAACAGGTCTCAAGAAAAACAGATGCTTTTACCTTTTTTTACTTTAGTCTTTAAGAAAAATGATACCCTTCTTTTAATGTTCCTTTATTTCATTTATATTGTTAATCCACCATAAAAGAGTGAAATGTAGATCTTCACTTTTGACTCTGATTTATATTGTCCCAACTTAAGTAAGGCACAAGGAAGTCCTATTTCACAAAGGTTTTTATTTTGATATCTAGCTTAGTTCCAAGTGAAATCCCCAAAATTAAAAAAAAAAATAAAATGTTGCAGCTGTTGGAAACTGTGAGCTTTGGGAAAGATTTTTGATTTGGATTTTTTTCCACTCATGTTACATTGTAAAACTAGAAAGAATTTAGAAATAAAAACTCAAATGTTTTACTCTGAAAATATTGAAATGGAAAAGTGTGATCCTCAGGACCTTTTTCACTTTATAAACAGAATTTCAATACACATTTCAGAGCATTTTGATATATCTGGAAATATTTTTAGATTAGAAACATACTTAGGTATGGAAGTCCATGGAGTTCATGGAAGTCTTGTAGATTTGTTTGGACTGATTAGTACCATTTGTTATTTTCAAACTTTGAATTAACTAATTGAGTTTAATAAACTAATCTGATTTTTGAAGACAAGAATCCAAGGTCTCAACTCAATGATTTCTGCATTAAGCCTGATGCTATAGGCATAACCTTATGTATTCAGAAGGAAATCTAGGATTATTTTAAATGTTTTCCAAGGAACAGAAGACCCACCTTGTTCCTAGACAAATTCATGGTTAATAGCACTTGCATGAAAAAAATACACCTTTCAGCAGATTTAATTGATTGCTGTAACTGTTTGATCCCCTTCTCACTTTACAGAACGCAGCTTGCCGTGTCAAATGTTATCTCTCCTTGCAGGGAAAATATTTGATCATGAAGGGGTCAAATTGATTTCTGATTGAAGTCAGAAAGGAATTACCAAAGGAATTACACCAGCGAAGGCATTACTGCTGCTATTAGTAGCAGCAGCAGGAGTTTAGCACAAACAACAGCAGATGCCTAAGTAAAACCTTGTCCAAACTGTCTCATTAGCTCATAGCCCCCATCCTGGCCACCCCACGATGCCCGGCGTCTGCGCGGTCCCTGCGCGCTCTCCATGAACACCTCCTTTGCTGGGGCGTGTGGGCTCCTGCTTCCTCCCCCTAATCTCCCCATCAGCCGTAATGCTGCCTGCGAGGGCTTTTATCAGCTTCTCTGCAATCATCTGCTGTCCTGTCAAGCAGTGACCTAAAAAGAGTTAATCCTGTTTACATTCTCAAGGTCAAAGAGGAATCTCCATCCACTTCGTTTATTTTTCAGTGGGAAAGACGAGCAAGTAACTAGTGGTTTAAAAAAAAAAATCCGATTTTGGTCAATATATTAGAGCCCTAAAACTAGCTGTGATAATCCAAGCACTTCCTATGTGAAAAGCATTGCTTCTTTCATAGCAATGCCTTCCCCCCATGTGTTTCAGTGCTCGAGATGCAAACAAGCCAGGAACTGAGATTTTTATTAAATCTAAATAAAGAAATCTTCAAATACATGGACTATTTTTCAATAACTCTATTCTCTGATACTTAGTAGCTACAGACAAAACTACCTTTAACATCCTGGAAATAGGATATCTTTGTGCAGATCTTTGTAACAGAGCTACCACATGTCTGGTAATTTAACTTGTAAGTGATATACAGCAAAGCTTTGAACTCATGCAGCATGTGACTTCACATAGTAAAAGAAATATTTAAGATCCATTAGAAAAAAAAATCTATAATGAAAACATACATGGAGATATAAAAAAATGAAAATCTTGAAACCAAAAATCTTCAGATATTTGAAAAAATGCAAATAGAAAATAATTCTTTTTTACAGCGAGCAGAAAAAGTTGAGGAGAAAACATGTCTAAGAAGAAAAGATGGAAAGCAAATTTTTTTTTTAAAGGCAGACCTGCAGTAACTACCAAACTGCTTGAACAGGATGCTGAGTGTTAAACGTGTAACATACAGCTTTGGCTGTTGAAGCAAGAAAGAAACTCTGCCTCTTTTAGCTTTTGGCTTTTACATTCAGTTGCTCTTAATTCCTTCATTTAAAAATACATGTTCAAGTTCCACTTTAGGAAAGGTAAATTTGCTGGTGTAATCTTTGGGCTTAAGAAGAAGAAAGATATGATTCACAGGAAACAGAAATTGATAAAATTAAACTGCCATTAGATGTTGCAGAATCATCAGAAATCACTATCTTATCAACAAATGGAAGCCCTATCATTTTTCTATAGTAAAGCAGTTTCATACAAGATAAATAGCTTTCAGTCACATGTCTACGATATGGCCAGAAGAGTCCAAGATATGCATCATTTTGACACGTATATTATAATACTACACTGTAGGATTATATTCAGAGTACTGAAAAAGAGAAAAAAAGTTAGGCTTTTAGCCTTGGCAATAGCTGTGTCATACATATGCATTTTCCTCATTGCTTAGATCTTGGATATTAACTTTTTTTTTTTTTTTTTTTTTGGTGCAGTGGTATAGATGTGCTATGGAACATGAGGGGAGGGATCTCTCTTTTCTTCTCCAGTTTTCTTCTTTAATCAGTGCAAACTCTTGATTAAGAGAGCACTTTAAGCCTAGGTTTAATGCAATTCTGCTTGGGAAGATACTAAGGTCACAGAGACACTGGTGCAATTATGTTGATTTAAACCAGAGGAATGGTAGAAGGCTTAGTTATTGTCATAAAAAAAAAAAGAAAGGAAAAAAAAGGTACCCAGCAATGAGACATACTTAGCTGTGCCCTGTGAGTTTTACCAGATCCCGTAAGGCAAATAGAGCTCGGAGGTTGTCTGCGACCAGTCCTTTAGCTGAGCCATTTCTGTGCCTTCCTGAGAGGAGCTTTGGTGTCCTATTGACCAGTGTAAGAGAAGGCCTAAATAAAATGTGTCTTCAAGGCTGATGTTAGAGCCTAAGTACATATGAAAGCCATGTATCACCCTGTAGTGGACAGTAAGACTGTCTATCCATTAAAATGAAACAAAACCCCATGAAGATTTTTTTAAAGCAGTAAATGATGATCCTTCTTGATAAAGAAGCAGAGAAACCTGAAGTGGCTCTGTAGACACATCCAATAATTTAGGGAATCAAATGAGTAAGTCTTTTATGCATAATTTCAGACATGCAAAATAAAAAATTAAAATTAAAAAAAGTAAAAAAAGCACTTACTGAGGTCAGCTGCAACCTTTTTATGATTTCAGCAGCTGAGTTTGCATATACTTCAGAGGGTGGATCTTACCACAGTGGCAAAGATTCTGCAGCTCAGAGCAGATTACAAACTTAGGGATACTGAACTGATACAAGTGGAGCTTTACAGTTAAAAGAGAGAGGTGAGAAGCTCCTTTTTCTCTAAAACCAGGAAGCAAACGGATATGCCTGAAAAAGGTGAGAAATGCTAATGCTCAAGCAGGGAAGATTTTGTTTCTTAGTAGCACTCTTTTCCACTAGGTACATATCCCTCAGAAAGGTAACCTTTGCTGTAGGATCCTAGGGAAATCTGAAATATTACTTGCAGATCAATGAATTGCAACTACCACAGTTGAGGAAGGGAGTGCTTTTTGATTGCCATTTGACTTTGGCATGATGTTAGTGTAACTCCACTTATTTAAAAGGACTCAACAGTGTGGAGAGGTATGTCAATTTACCATTGATGCTTGGTCCTTGAATAAGGAATGCAACTAAAACTCAAAGCCGTATCCCGACAGCTATCTACTGTCCAGCTGAACAAGTGCAGTAAATAAAAAAATGATCGTGTTACCAGAAGTGAGGATTTAGGATCTGGCTCTTAGTCAGATATAAAAAGCATGCTAAGGAAGGAATGGATTTAGGAATTCGGGTAGAAAGATTATCTCAAAGATTACACCTATGCACCTTTTATTTATTTTTCTGTATAATCAACTATATGCATATACTCAGTGAATTCTTATTTCACTGTTTTTCAAAAGCTTGAGAATAATATGAGTCCTCAGACTTCAGAAATTAACCTCTTGCCTTGCACCATGTAGGTAAGAAGGGAATCGAGCCTATTTTGCACATGTGTGTGTGTGCACATGTCTGTAGTCGGAAGCAGCCAAGAAAGAACTTACAAACTTCTTTTATTACTTTATTCATTAACCATCCAGCAAAAGCTTCACTTTAAAAATAGCATCCTAGAAAAGCACAGACATTCATCTCCTGTCTAGAAGCCATCTGGGAGAAGAATGGAAGGCTATTAAGAAATACTTTCTGAAAAAGAACTCTTTTTTTTTTCCCCCTCCCCAGTCATGAATTCATTGAACGCACTCATTCTGTGCCAAAAATGTAGGCCTGATCAACTTATAGCAACCAAACTTCTAAAACAAAAGAGTTTACAAAATCTTCTTGTTTTAACATAATCCGACTCAGATACTTGAAGGGGATAAATTTGAACCTTCGCATCTCCCAAGGGTAAAAGTGCAAAATATGTTTAAAAACCACTTTGTGGTATCATTTTCCTAAGTACAATTTAGTTTTTCATTATGGGCATGAGAGGGGTAAAACTTTTTATTTTCAAACTCTTTCAGGCTTAAATCATATGCAAAAGGGAAAAAAAAAAAAAAAAACCTATTTCCCAGAAATCCTACATTTTTACCAGCTTTAAGGAACATATCATTGGAGACTGTTGCTTTTTTTTTTTTTTTTTTGGAGAGAAAACTCAATAACCCCTTTTTTTTTCTGCAACATGAATTATTTAGTTTCAAATATAGAGTATAGAGAAATCACTCAGCATAACATATAATAAATGTCAAGAAAAATCCAAGAAAAGAGAAGAAAAGCCCAGTAAAAACATCTGGAAGTTTCACAGTGGCAGATTTCACATTAAAGAAATATTAAATCGTGTTTTATTACATTTATAGTAAAATCAACTAAATGGAGCTATGCTCCAAGGTCCTTGGCTATTATGAGTGAAACTAGAGTCATGAAAATTCAGAATTTCCTGCTTTTTAACTCTGGACAGTACCTTATACTCCGTTCATGAATCACACACATGCTTTACAGAAGTATGAACATAACACAAAAAAGCAGAACTGTTCCAGGTTTGCGAGAAAGACAGGCTCAGAACAGTAAATGTGACCAGTAAATGTTTCCACAAAGCTTATAAAAGGAATGAGCTTTTACCTGGAAGAATGCTGACTTACATGGGGAATACTTCAGTGCATTCTTGGCCAGTAAACAGATTACTTTGTAGCTGTGGGTAATTATGCTGCTCACTTCTAAGCAATGTAGAAAATCAATTTTAATTAAGAAATCATTTATGCTGGACTGAGTCATGCCCACTTGGGGTGGTGGGGGAGAATATTGACCTAGGAAAGTTCAGTTCAGATGCAGAATTCGTTTATACAGTGGCACCCTGATCTTTCAACCCAATTTTCCAATTGGATTGACAGAAGCACATGAAGGTCAAATGATTGGGACAAGGTCAGGCAAATGCCGAGCTTATCCCCAAGATCATCTTTATTCCCCATCTTTCATTATAACTGCTTAGCAGATGGCTTCTACCAGTTTTAGTCCTCAATATCAGAGCAGGTTGTTAAATCCTGTTCTTGCACTACCAGTCATGTGACAAACATGAACCTTTGGCAACTTGATAAAGCGAGGACTTGATTCAGCCCCGAATCAGGAGAGCATCCCAAACTAAGAAGAAATTATTTATGTGGCTTGCCTTAAAATATACATTTTGAAACATATACATTTTGACTATTTTGAAACTCAATTACACGTTAATGACTGTGTACAGCTAGGACTGTATTTAAAGAGTTGTCTTATTAACGGTCTCTGTAAGTGTGCATAATTTCTAAGAACTGGTTTTGATATGTGGATCACTTTATAAGATTTAATATTATTATTTCCGGAACTATTAGAAGAATTTATACTGTTAAACTACCATATAGATACCATCAGGACTACCATACTGCCTTGAGGAAAGTAGCTTATCCCATGCTATCAATCAGGAAAAAAACTATTTGGATAATTGAATAAACTTGTTCAGTATACAGGACATGTGCTTTTCAGGCTTGCTCCTTGCACAGGAATATGTAGAATATTAAGCGATAAAGACATTCTGAAAAAAAATCTTTGTGGTGTCAACTTAGGATGCTTGCTCTACTTTTTATTACACAAGAAACACAAATAGTAAACCACAGATATACTATCTCAGTATAGTCTGACTTTTGCATGGACTAGTAAAAGACATTATGTTTTGGTCTTGTTCTTCACATTGATGCAAAACTCTGCAACAACTATAATGTAGCATTTTCCACTAAATTTTTCATGTTAAATATTGGTATAGAAAAACAAATGCCGTAAAATGTCCAGGAAGTGCAGCAAGGCTAGTTACCAAGATGTAGACACACAGGTATTCAATTCAAGAGCAAAGCAAGAAAGCGAGTATATTTTCATGTGACTCTCAACTAGATCTCTGAAGCATAATTCTTGGAGAATCTAACTCTTTCTTACCCACATTTACTCTTTCGCTACCTCTGTAAAGAGTTCTTTAAGAGACCTCTCCTAGCCTTCCCTTAACAAAGCTGAAGACCAAGAAGAAGTAGTGATCTGGGGCAAGGGGGCAAAGAAAACCATTTAAATGCTTCTCCCACATGCAAGGACCTTAGCTGCTTTGCAGTTATCTATTTAAGAGAATAGGAAAGTCTGCATGTAGAAATGGGGTCCAGAAAGACCCAAACATGAATACAAAAACAAGATCAGCGAAGACCCACAGAGGAATATTTGACAAAACCTGCAGTGAAAGGTGAACGGCTGAGCCAACCTAAGATATGCTTAGAAACTCAGAAAAAAAAATATGTATCAAAAGCATATGCATGCATGCAGGTATGTGTTTATGTATGTACATGTGTTGAAATAGGAATGGAAATTCACCTATGTACTGAGGAAAGAAAAACTGGAGAGTTGAAGATCGATTGATGTTAAAATATTCCAGGAAAGCATTGCTTTTCTTAGTCTCTTTTTATATTTCAGATGCTTTGCAATGCACATAGTTTTGATCAAGCAACTGCTCAGGCTAGAGATGATTGTGCACGAATACTAACGAAGAGGAATATCTCTCTGATTTTGGTTGACTATCTAATTATATAGATGCTTAGCTGCAAGTTTCTAGCTTGATACAAACTGCTTCAAACTAGAAACTATCCTGGAAATACCATGAAAATATCAAGAGAACAGTATTTCCTGTTTTGTATTCTGGCATTTCCAATCCCATAGAAAAGAACAAGTGAGGAAAACATGGGGGGGGGAGGGAGTTAGATCTCCACTTCAAGAGCTAAAAACATAACCAATACACATCCATGTAGGTGTGGGATGATGTGCAAGATGGAAGACTATTCTGCAGACATAATGTCACAAAAATAAAGAAAAATCTTCATTGCACTTTTTGAAGATAGCTCTATTTTGGTGGAGATGCTAGCCCAGAGTTTGGGATGTTTGACTATCTGCTGTGCTGCAGACATTGTCACTTTTGGCAAGTCATCAACCGCTCTAGGTGTTGTTATTGAACTGTAAATAGGAGATAATGATGCTTAGTTGCTATTTGCCTGTAGTTTAAGATCTATAAATGGGAAACTTTAAAGCATTCAGGTGTAACTGGCACAGTAATTATGTACATAGCTAGAAGAGGTATACAGTTATTCATCTAAAAACACAAGAAAACCACCTAACTCCCCATTTTATATTTAAAAGAAGAATCATTTAATAGATCAGTGGAAGAATCACTATTTCTTTAAACATGTTTCTTCAATCAAAATATGCTCTTTAAGCTTAAACACTTACTGTCATAGTCCTGTAGATTTTCAATTGCTGATAATAATCTCACCCTGTCTTCTGGGTTTGAAATATTTAATTCAATCAAATGGCTCTCTTTTAGATCCTTTAAGTCCTCTAGAGTTTCGTAGCCATTTAGCAAGAGGGTTGAGGCATAATCCTACAAAAAGAAACAAGTAAATCCTCTTATAAACAAGCACTATGTTTAGTAAAGGAATGAATGCAAATTCTATTTCATTTTTTTTGTCAGGTTAAGAAAGATGGGTCCCATTCTCTAGTCTGGCTGATCTGCTTTAGGCATAAAAACAGACCGAGAGAAGAAGACAGAGGCAGAGATGCCCAGTTGGCCATCCCAGAGTCTGTGGTCAAGGCTTTAACATAGAGTCTAGCAGCAAATTGGACAGAACTGTGCTGTAAATGATATAATCTGCCCAGTTTTGGGAGACTCCTGGGCCCACCCCATAGACTACTTTCCATTAGGGTCCTGGACGATCTCTGAGACAAGACCTGCTCTGCCTTTGCAAAGAAGAAGTCATTGGATATATGAGCAAGTGAGAAGCTCAGAGAGCCCTCAGCTGTGCTGCGTTGCACACAGTCCTTCTTTAGCTGTGTATTGATGCGGTATGAGACTCTGTGTGCTCCAGGAAAAGGAGTGTTCATCTCAGCAAAAAAGCAATAACCATTAGTTAGGAATGTTGCTTGTAAATCATGATATAAAAATACTTTGATGCCCAGTCAAGAACTAGGTTCCGGAGATGGAGAGACGTACCATATAACCATGGTGAATAAAGACTATTCCTCCCTAAGGATTATAAAAATCAGTTAAAAAAAAAAAAAGGGAATTACAATGCTGTCAATGAGGTCAGACTGAGATTTCCATTTCTTCACACACCTTCTAAACTTAGGCACACATTCACGTTCAGGTTATGGTCACTTGACAAGTCACCACTTCTCAACTGAGTGCCTCTTTGCAGCGACTCTTTTAGCCTAACCAAATCATGTGGTGAAATGCAGTTACACAAACCGCTCATATAAGATAGAAGACAGAAATGAAGCCTCTTTACTGACTTCAAAACTGCTGAGGCCTGCCTTTCTGGTTGTGTCTGTAAATTACATCCAAGCCCAAGTGCACTCAAATCAAATACTTCGTACAGGTCTGGGAAACGTGTTTGCTGACCTGCAGATGGACATATTCCAGGAGTTCTTGTAAAGTTTTAGGTTTGGCCCTTTTGCTTCCTCTGTGCGGCTTTAGTTTCCTGGGTGCAGTTTCTTCTTCCAAAATAATATCCACATAAATGAATTTAAAGTTTCCTACTTTGTTGTTCAGCATGCCTGTCCAGATGCCCATGGGTGTCTTACAGATGATGTCTATAATATCTCCTTTCTAGAACAAGAAAAAAGAACACCACTGCTTATACATCTGGTTTGTGATATGTGACTTTTCCTTTATGTGGCAAAAAATAGCACATACAGCACAGAATCATAGCTAAGCAGAGCAAAGTAACTTTTAAAAATAACCCAGATCAAGGTCTTCTACTTTTATAATATCCCAGCAAGCAGAATTACAGGTAGTGGTGTTAGTTCTTATCTCCAAATGTTGCAAAGGAGAGGTGAGGATGAACAGCACTTTCCACTGCCTGTATGCCCTTCTTGGTCCTTGAAAGGAGGAAAGGTTACAACCAGAAAGCAACTATTGCCATGGATAGAAGGAATAGCTTTGTTGAAAAAGAAAAAAAAAAGAAAGTGTGTGCTTAGAGTTTTCCATGTTTTATATAGGCTCTCAGCTGACTCCTTCACCCAAAACCACTTACACAATAATCTTATGATCCAGCATCTAAAAGGGTCTCCAAAGACTGATGCTGAGCTATGCGAAAGGTGAAGTTTACACGTTTTACAGGAAGAAACACTGTTCTATAATTCTGAAAGGCCCTAAGGGACATTTAACTTCCTTAACACCTTTCTGCTATCCTCTTCCTGAAGGGCTGACGAATAGGGCTATTGCTCCACACTTTTGCATGCACTCAAAGAAAAATTAGTGCCAAAAAGAGTGAGAACACAGCAACTTCAAGAAGAAGTTTTGGTAAAAATATTCACAGTCAAGCTAGGGAAGTCAAGGTCTTAGCTCACACACCAGTCATTCAGGTAGCAAAAAGACTCTTAAAATCACACCCCCTATACAATTTGCTCCCATGACAGTAGCATCCCCTCTTTTTCTGGGCAGGAATTATGTATGTAATCTACACCTTAATGTTATCATACAGTTATGGTATATTTTTTCTTTACTAAAAGTAAGATTTTTTTTTTTAAGAAAGTATTTGAATTGTGTAACAAATCCGCATGTAAACATGTCATTTGTCATTCTGTTACGAATGACAAAATTCTGTTACGAACTTAAAATTCGGACTCATTTTTGTTAAAGTATCTGTTACTGTCTCCAAAATTTTCAAATCTTTTTCTGGCAAGAAATTGCAAGTAAGTAAAGCTGTCAACCTACTTTGGTGCAAATCCAAGTATGAAATTCAGTGTTCAAATTGCTTAATTTTGTTAGACTATGAACCTTAGAGCTATGAAAATGTTTTAAATGGAAACTAAAACATTTCTTAAAGCTTTATAAGCACACATATTCTAGGCACTTATGGAGAGCTCAAGACATTCAGATGTGGATGCAAATCAGGATTAGGCAGTGGCTCCAAGCCAAGTTACAGATGCATCTTGAATTCAGATTTGGGGTGCTGAAATTTTGTGAGATATTCTTAGGGGATTTCAGTCCTAAGTATATTATTTTATAATTTTAAAAGACATCATCTGAGTGACTTAAGAGTGAACTTATGATCCAGAAGTAGTTTGCCATTTCTGCACTAGTTAAACGTTTTGGTAAGAAACAGGCAGTGATATTACCAGTACCTGCACATAGAGGGAGAAGAAAATGACTGGGCCTTTTTAGCATGGTTTAATCAGGCAACTCAGGAGTTCCTTTTCCTTGCTGACACAGCCCAGACATCCCTGGTCATGATGTCAGGACCAGGGAATAATTCAAATGTGTGCTTATAGAGAGGCTTAAAGGAATGGCAAGCTTTTCCTTTAAGGACAATAAATGCCCCCGAGTGTCTGATATTCCATAACTGAGACTGAAAAATTAGAGGATAATTTGCATGTCTCATGTAAGACATGAGATCCATGTTGTTCTTACTTGAGACCTCGCAGTGGTAGGAAGCCACTTGTGTTTTATGCTGAAGAAAACTGCATGATGCACTATGATGAGATACCTACTACATGGAATCCATGACCTAAGAGCCTTTTGCAGTCATCAGGTCACCATTTTCTTCCAGAAATATTGCTAAAACAGATCAGTGTTGCTTTTAAAGTACATGTTGCTAACAGTTAAAAATGCTGTAGTAAACACTTCTTCACATTCAAAAATACTCCTCTGTTATGCTTACCACAAAAGAAGTCCTGAAGTAAGTTGCCTTACCTTAATTTTTAGGGAGTCGGTGTCATAGGGGCTTGGTGTGAAGTCGGTGTGTACTTTGGCTCGGCCACAGAAGGGCCCACTGTAAGGGACCTCATCATCAAACCTCAGGCTATCCCTGTTGCTGGTTCCATCAGAGCAGCTGGTGACTCCACCTGACAAGGATTCAAGTGGAAATTTAGTTCTTCTGCCTAGACACCCAGATATGTCATTCTGCACAGCAGCAAAGAGAAAAATGTACAAACACATAGAATTAAGAAAGAGTGTGTGTTCTCTATGATTTTGACATATCCCAGTAAAAATACATTCCACAAGAAAAAAAAAAAATCTACTCTACAAGAGACTGAAGGAAATAGGTTGGAGATCTTCCCTGCAGTAATCTTTTCCTGGTGATGATACTAATAGACTACATATTTTACTTGCAGACTTTTTGAAATATTACTCTGCAGATTAATAATATGTACTCTAAAAGTGCAATTTAGGGAATTAATTCTGCTGAACTTCTCCTGTTTATTCAAAGAAATGAAAACAAATACTGTACAAATTGTTTTATTTCATTACATAGCTAGCTAAAACATCAAAGGGACCTGCATTGCAGAGGGAAATTTTAATCTTATCAACATTTCTGCCTGTCATTTTATCCAAGTCAAGCTATAAAATATCGGCACAGTACTTGAAGCAAATTTGAGCAACCTCTGCAATATCCCATCCAAATATGTTTTTAGATAACAGCAGCAGTGTGCTGGAAGTAAACTCCCATATACAATTTTCACAAATCACATCATAGAAAATTATGACAGAAATGGTTTTGTTTGAAGTGATTGCTTAAGTGCACAGCTCCATCAGAGGCCAGATTAATGGCTACTAATGGTCTGCGCTGCAACTGGAGACACCAGTTACAGCTCCTGTGATGCCTGCAGTGACAGCACAGCAATGTCACCATGCACAGCTCTGACCTGCTGCCATAGCAGAGCAACTGCTAGATATGTGGATACAAACTCCACTTCTCATCAGGGATTCACCGGCCCCCTGATGAGGACTACCCTGTTGGAGGAGTTTTTTGGTGGGTTTGCTGAGCTCCCCAGCCACCTGGCATTTCAAACAGGCTTCTGTCTGAAACATCGTGTATCTGCAGAGCAAAGACAAACTCACAGTCACCACCTCCAGCTTGACCAGAGGGACCGAGTAACCACAACTCCACAGATGCCCGTGCCATATGTGTAGATATATATATATGTACATGGCATATATACCAGCTTTTTTTTTTTTTTTAACTGCTGATAATATCACCACTCTCAAAAACACTCAGCCTATTTCTGGAGAGAGAGAAGCATAGTCTAGTTGCCACCTGATTGATCAAATTGCACATTTGCCTGCCAGACTACAAAACTCTCTACTGTCACATTTTGGATCACCAGCTCTGATACCTGAAACAAAAATAATATTGAACCCGTGACTAAACAGAAGTATGGCTATCTTATACTTACTAGATGAGCTTTGGCCACTGTTGAGACTGTAGAGACTATCCATAGAGTCACTGTTTTTTAGGGAAACCTTCTCTGTGTGTATTCCACCACCAGGATCACCGTCATCTTTTCCTTCTTCATTCTTTAATGGAAAATTCAGATGTTAACCACCACAAAAGTTAAATTATACAAACATTTGTGTGTTTTTTTTAATCATCATTACCTTTACAGCTCAAGTTGGGTTCCTTTATTTAGATCCCCTCTGAGACAGAAAACGCTTTAGAAGCTGATGAGAGGCATTAAGGATGCGCAACACTACCATTAACACGTTCATCTAGGAGAGATCACTTGTCTCCTCTCTGCCACTCTCTTTTCATTCTATTCCTGTTCAAGTAGCTAAACTGATTCTCTGTTTAAAAATTTTCAGTGGTGAAAATACCAGAGCAGCAACAAAGGCTTTTAATATGAAGTTCAGATTTTTTTCTTTTTTTCTGGTTATCTCTGAGGAGGAAGCATAAACTTTAATTATTAAAGCACATGGAGAAGTACAAGCTGACACAGATATGTTTTGCACTGAACTTCTGAAAATCCCAAGCACTGAGAGGCACACAGTGAAAGCATTCACATCAGAGCATTTCAGAGATAGGGTACACACATGAACACCACCATGGTGCATTTAGCACCATGCTCAGTAACTTGCCCAACCTACAGGACACTAGCTTCAAAAAGTAGTGCATTTCAGAAATAACAGAACCCTGTCACTCTCACAAAATTAAATGGTGTGGTGTATCGAATTGGCCCATCAAGGTTATAACATTAAATCGCAGCTCAGAAATCAAAGCTTATAACAAATTCAAAGCAACAGGAATCAAATTTCAGTCACATGTAAGTCAGAGATGATATAATAGTTTAATGAATTACAATGAGCTTTTAAAGGAGGCAATTTCTTCAGTGAAGAATTCCTTGCATCACACTGTCAATGTGCATGATATCCTGATGCAACTGAGACATCTTTTAGTACGGAGGATATTACATCAGAACATCCATTTCTATTTGGAACATAGTCACTATTGGGAAAAATGTTAATACTCTTCAATCAACTGGTGAAGTCAAGCAACTGGTAAAGCCAGTGCACATATGAAGCTGAGACCCATACAAGTACAGATAAGGCATATCACCAAAATAAAATATTATATTGATTCTCAACAAGGATGTACATCAGGAGCACGACCCATTGATTAATCACTGGACCAGTACTAGTGGTCATCAGGTACTGCAGGAATGAAGATTGTACCATATGTGTGCCCAGACAGATATTTCGTTGAATTCCTGTCATGTGAACATTTGTGGTAAATATGCAGAAGGTAGATGCTGAACATGCGTTTTTTTTTTCTCAAAAAAAATATGGATTGCATCCTCCTGAACTCTAGCACAAAGTACAAAATAAGCTAATAACAGGGATATATGATAGCCTGTAAATCACTCTATTATGGTTGCAAAGTTTCCCTTTCATTTTTCCTTTTTTTTTTTTTGATATTGACCCATGTATGAGATAGGATACAAGCTTAGATACATTTTTAGGATGATCAGTCTTTTTTCCATATGCATTTCAAAATTTGGAACTCATTGAGTCAAGCCATTCAGAAAACAGGTTTCCAGGGTGTATAAATGTTTTTATGTTTAATAAAGATATTACACTGAAGATCACTTTGATTGGATGAGTTAAAAGCAGATAAGGCATAGGAGTTGTCATGCTCTAGGGTGCTGTCTTCATTCTACAGCATAGGCTTTGAAAAAGAAATCTTGTATTCAAAACATTTGATAAATTCTGCTAATAAAGCACTTTGTATAGGATGAGTATCAGATAAGACTGATCATTCGGTTCATCCAACACTCTCAAGTGTTCCCATGAAGAGGGATTTTTTTGTCATATTTATACAAATGTGGAATTATTGATTTTGTGAGACATGCTTCCACTTATTGACGACAATGCAAAATCTGCAATGATACAAAGCTCATGTCTATCTTGGGTCTTTGTGGTGTGATGTTGCAAGTGTATTTGTGCCTGTGTATATACATTAATACACACAGGAAAGAAAGTGTGCAAAAGCTGCTCTAATTCAGTATGTGTAACCATGTTTTTATGGATTCTCAGTTGCTTGAAACATGAAAAAGGAAAAAGCACGTAACATTTTTACTTCACATACATTATCATCAAATGCAATAGTATTTACCATCTCCTCAGAGAGTGCCTTGATGTACTTTTTACCCATCTTTTTCTTCATGGTAAGGGAAATGGCTCTCATCTTCTTACCCAAGCTTCCTCCATTACCTACTGCTTTACTTTGTACTGCATCTCCAACATCACTTATGGTCTCCAATTCAGATATCTGTTTTGAAATAGAAAAGTAAGCAAAAACTTGTCATGAGAATAAAATATGGTGTCCTAGAGCAAGAATTACAGAAAAATACTTAAGACATGAACGCCATTAAGATGACTAAAGCCACAACTATTTTCCTGCAAAATTGTGTACCTAAAAACTTCTGTGACAAACCACTGTGTGTGTGAATGACGAAGAAAAGAAGCCTTATGCTAGACCTAAGACATACCTTTGTCCGTAGTCCTTAATCTAAACAAGAGTTGAGGGAATTTATGTAGGGTACTAGAAAACAAACAAGAAACCTCTCCAGATTGCATAAATGTCTAAGTTACTTTGGGAACATGCCAACCTGAAGTATACTTTTGTTTCTTTGAAAAAGAGACCTGTTCACTTTCTCAAGGACTCAAGCATCCAAATAAGAGCCAGGCATATCACTGAAGTTCTCACCAGTGTAAAATTTACACACAAGTTTGCTGATGTCTTTGCATAACTGCCATGGGAAACAACTGAAGAAAGTGAAGTAGTGGTGGTACACACCTCAGCTGAATCATCTGCCTTTGATATCGAGTGATGTCTGAAACGGTCAAAGCTTCCAAAACTGCTTGTGCGCTGTAAAGAACAAAAGACAAAACTTATCTTAGTGATGATATTGGGTTATACTATTAAGATAACTGAAAATCCCGTGTTTCTGTTGAAGATTCCTTTCAAATTAGCAGACCATGAACTACTACAGCTTACTGGAAAGAACAGGAGGTGACTAGAGGGACAAATTATGCCTGTACAGCTGGAAACACAAAAACAAGTAAGAGAAATAACACTGCTTCATATACAGATTAGATAATGGCTGTGATCTTGAGTTCTTCTGCAATCAGTTCTGCACAACAGTTACACACTGACATCAGTTAGATGACATTGCTTTCTGTAAGATCAGGATAAAACTATTTGCATAATATCAAGTGAGCTAGAGAATTGGCTATGGTGCTGCAAACTGTTGCAATTTAGTTTTATACAGTTTTCTTTCTCAACTGGGGACAGCTGCTGGAGGCTGTGTGAGG